CACTAGGGAAACCCTGTGTCGCGGGTGCCATGGACACACACATAGACAACCACAAATTACACCCAAACTCACGAGAGAAATAAATGTAGGTCATACAAATATTTCTCCCGGCCCGGGAATTGAACCTGGGACCTCTGCGTGGCATGGTAGCCGTTCGGCCACGGAGGCAGTTACTATACATAAGTAAACTATACATAAATTTTAATTATTTTTTTCGGGAAGTGAGTAATTCGTTTTTCGTCTATTCTGAGAAAGTCCACTTTTTGAGTTAATTCACTATTGTATTAACAGTGCGATATGTAAAGTACCTATCGAATACAGCGGTTTCCTTGTAAAATTTCGAGGTAAGTTTGTATTTTTTTCCTATCGCGAAAATTTGTAGGAATCGTGTTTTCACTTCGTATACTAGTCAGAGTATATCCTCAACTTTAGTATATATATTCTCCAAAGTATTTGATTCAATACTTTCACTGTTATCCGTAATCACCCAAAGACATTTAGGGTTGTATAGACTCTTAAGTTTAGTGAAAACATTCACACTTAAAATAAATAGTTTAAAAACGATATCACAATAACCGCTTACGCGATGCGCTCCTCTTACCGCAAAATGCCGGCTATTTGGTTTTGCAAATTAAAAAAGCATTCAGTTTAAATACAAGTTTTTATAAATAAAAATTATTATTCTGCATTGCTAAATAAATACCCTCCGTACTACCAACAAAAACATCTCAAATAAAATGCAGTTATACACCGCAAATCCTGCACTTAACAAGCACTAATTAAATTTTTGGTGTACTTGGATAAATATGATAATATTCCGTTTGAGTGGTTCTAACGTTTACCATGAAATTACTCCTTAAAGTATAGTTTATAAACATTTATATTCAGGGTAAACTTAAAAATCGGTACTTACGGTATGTTTTCAATAAATAAACACCGAAATCACCAGCCCAAACAATAACACACACGATTGTCGTGACGTATTTTTGAAGTTGTTTATTTTTTTTAAATGACAGACCCAGGCATTAAAAACTTTATAGTTTGCTAGAGTAGTTACCGAAATAGCGATCAATATTAGTTCTTTTACCTGTTATAACTTCGACATCCGATAAATCGGTATAAAATCATCACCACTCTAGGTGTGGTATGCGTCTACGGCTGCATGTATCGCGTGAGCGGTTAAGACAAAAACTAAATGAAACCACAGATTATTGACATAAACATAAGCATGCAGACACTTTGTATGGTAGCAGCTGCGGTAGCAAAAGGGTCACTGAACTCAGTACGTGCTGGAAAAAGTCATAAGTTCCCAACAGTTATTTTCATTTATAACACATCTTTCTCTACAATACGATTATTATTATTATTTATATAGAAAACAAGCTTTCATTTATATTTTCATAAAATATACATCTACATTAATCTCGTTATATTTACATAAACTCCAAATCTACAACGTCAATATTTACACGTATTTTTTTTGAACAAATCAGCCACACAATCGACAAAGAACCTTTGTTATCTTGCTTTGTCTATTTCCAAATAACGAGAGGCGTTTCATTTTTCGATTGGTTTTGATACAGACGTTTGTCTTTTGAAGTATTCTCAAACGTTCCTTCGTCATTCTAACACGTTTCTTTTTGTGACTCATTTATTTAAAAAAAAAGACCAAGCGTAACAAAGACTCCTTTTGCCCTTTTGTTTTACAAAAGCAATACGTATGTATATACTTACATAACATATATTTTATTGTACTTTCCGATTTTTTTCTGGAAGATTGTTATCTTTTCACTTACAATTTAAAATGAAGATATAATAGGGTGAAATAAGGTGATTTATGAAGCATGTTTTAGTTTTTAAAATATTAACGTCCTGTTTTAAATTCAAGTTTAAAACTTAATCTTAATGAAAACCAAAATTGGACGTAAATATTTTAAAACAGTCGTTAAAGCCTGAAACAAAATTTTTGAAATGTAGCTTAACTACTTTCATCAAAACACCGACGTTATGATCTTACACGGAAAGTCAAGATTCTCTTTGAGACGCTATCCAAGAAAGTAAATAAGTAAGCAATAGAAATACAACTATTTTCTCGGACGTAAATCGTGTATAATGCATTTGCGCAATACTTCCGTATTGTTACGAATCCGAGAAATGACGGTCCGAAAATGTCATAAGTGTCCGAAGTGGCATTTTATCTGTAGGTATACAAGCGATATTCGTGTTTTCTAGGATGCCGTGCGCAAAAGTTCTAGTATTTGTTTCTTCAAGCGAAGTAACGTTTCGGGCTCCATACACACCCCAAGGTCACGGATGACTGACCATGTGAAAAAAAGAAATATACGGCGATATAAATCCGAAAAAAAAGTTCCATTTCCATTTGTAACAATCGCGAAAACCTAGAAACTCGATAGGCAGTAGTCACAGTAACATTAAAACTTGCTAAAATATCTCGTTACTTCGCCAAAGATGAATCTGAATTCGCATAGGGAAAATGGTTAATTAAACTCTTGCGAACCCAGATTGTCCGAAAAAACCGACCGTATATGGACTTGTGGAGATTTATGACGTCGTGATTATAAACAAATAGCATGAGAGCTTTAAACATAAGTAACACATTCTTATGCGCCCGGTAAACGATCAAATAATTTGTCAAATTTTACGTATTTGTCAAACTTATGATCGCATGCGGCCGTGTTTGATGCGTTTGTCAAAGAATGCACGTGTTTGATATGTCTGATGGAAATCTAGATTGACGCCGTGTTTGACAAACATGTTGGAAGGCAAACCAAAGTTAGTTGTTGCCTATGCGTTCACCTTGCTAGATTCTGGTTCTGTGCGCAATGTTTCTTGTAACAAATTTTCGTACATATGTTTTTCTCTTAATTTCAACCATTTCTATAACAACATAAATATTTATTTTTCTTAATGCTACTAGAGTTAATGCCAGAAACGTATTATCTATTATTCTTACTCATTGCAAAAATTACAAAAAGATATGACTCATTGTATTAACTATAATACAATACGTACGACTGTAGAAAGAGATGACCGAGTGTGAGCTACTCAGTCTATTTGATCGTTTACGACATTGTTTGAAGGATAAATTTGACAAATTTTTTTATCGTTTACTGGGCGCCATGGACTGAATTATCCGCTCTCCGCTCGAATAATATGTATGTCATCGCAAGAGAATAACAAACAGGATTCGTGGAGATTTGCTGCACACTCACAATGCTTATCTAGAAATGGCATAAAAGCTTCTAAAATTACATACACTCCGTCGAAATGAATCCAGATTGGAATCTATCACTTATTATGACCACCAAGTAGAAATGTGAGCATTACATTCCCGGGTGCTGGTGAAGGCACATGAGACGTCAAATTTGTGTCTGACGATGACGGCACAGTGGCAATGCCCCTCAGATCTTTGAGAATTAAAGCTTAGAGCAGCGCTGCAACTCTTACGTGTAAGCTAATTGCTTTCTACATAAGAGTTGTTCAAACCCGTAACTTGATAATCATTGAAGAAAAATTTTAAAGCTTGACAATCTCTGCCAACGCAAAAGACAATCAATACCCGGCGCATGCAATACTGCGTTTAGGATGTTGATGGGGCTGCCAAGACACTGCAGGGTATTAGGTATGTTTGCGGAAGCTCACACTTTCATGCAAGAAAAAAGCCGCATCGATTCTGAGCCATGTCCGCGGCAGCACCAACACCATTCTACGCGTTATTGCCGACCGATTTGACTGTTAGGGACTGTATTGTAACATTCGATTTGGCTGCGTATAGGATACTGATTCATTTTATAACTCGTTGTATTAAAGCTCAGAATGCCACTGCAACTGGTACAAATTGCTTCCTACACAAGACTTGTTCATCCCGGGACTTGATAATCATTAAAGAAAAACATTATACTTCGCCGAGGAGTGACGTGATATGGCAAAGAACATACATGATTAACAACAAGTAGTACCCACTAAACATTTTCCTAAAATAACACGCCGTCAAAGCGAATGAAGACTAGCGTCGGTGTCACTCTCCGCTCCGCCGAGGAGTAATGTGGATTCGCAGGGGAGCGTGTGACGGGATCCGTGAGGGTTTCCGGGATCGGGGCGCCGGTCGTCGGCCAGCGCGCGGCTGGTGGGTGGCAATAGTCACAGCTCTATCGCCGCAGCGCCCTTCCATGTCACCCCAGCGCGGAGAAGGTGATACAGCCGAAGTACGCACCATATGCAGAGACACTGTGAAAACAGATATTACGTTTCAGTATTCGTGTTCATAATGTTACATAATGCGTTTTCAATTCAATTTATTGGGCCATATAAAGTTTACAAGAGTCTAAATAACACATGTATAAGTCCTTATGATGTGACACCTGTAAGGGCATAGCAATAAATATGTTTACTGTTAATAACCAGTGATGGGAATTGTGGGAGTTCATTTAGGTAAACTAAAGTATAATGTGGACGTTTACATCTTACAAATCTCGGGAATTCTCGGAACTGATTGTATTTCAATTTGCGTATCGTATTTATAAAATTTGAGTACAATGACGACAAATTATTATTTCTCAGAGGTTTAAATCGTAAAGATGCACTGCCATTGCATCGTAAGACATAAATTAACAAGTCCCATAACATTACCCTTCTAAGCTGGAACGCAGTAATGATAAAATAACTTCTCGGCGGCAGAAATAGGTAACAAACAGCAATATTACAAGTAAAATATTAATTAATTAGAATTGATTGTAAAATTACAACAATTGAACATATTTAATATGATGATTTTTCCTGATATTTTCAGTGTATTATTTTTTTATTTATTTGATTATAGACGAGCAGCTTTCTCTGGTATGTCTACATCACACAGTGTTGAAATTCATATCGTTATTACTTTGTATTTTATTATGAACTGGAGATGCCTCCAAAGTTACGGGATTTTCCTGTTGTTCCACTTTGTAATTAGCACCTTAATTTTGTAATACAACGCGGATTAAAAAATAAAAGTTCCAGTGTGCGTGGCTGTTGGCGCAGGCGTCATTGCCTCGGTCTGAAACGACGATTTTATTTTATGCACTAGAGCATAAAATCCTATTTTGTGCAGCCTACACCCAGCATAAATACGAACTTTAAGAGCATGAGAAGTGAAAAGTAATGTTATAGCATTTGTAAAGAAATCGATAAAATATGTCCATACTAAGAAAACGTTCATACTTTAGGTAAATTAACCCCCTCAACTCCGATCACTGCTAATAACACTTAACTCCTACATACTTTACTTCTATATATAGCTTTAAATTATATATTTATATCATATTATATCTTACAATAATATATTTAATTCATATCATTTCATTTTATCATCTAAAATTTCTTTCAGATTGTAGTGTTCGTTATTTTCCGTTTTTGTTTCGTATTATTCGTTCAGAATGTATTAAATGACAATCGGAGTGAACTTATATGCCGTGAATATGTTAAGAAATAAGTAAACAAACATATAAATACATACAGGGTTACTTGTAAAATATTACCAACCTCTCAAGACTATAATTACGCCATCATAAATAACTTTCGTTCCATACATACCGGAAATGAAACTATTTTTTCGTAGCAATCACGGAAATCTGAGAAGTTGACATTTAAAGGGTTGAGTATTACGAAGAGAAAAGATTTTTTTCTCAAACATGCTCGGAAATGTTTGCATTATTTTCAAAAAACGAACACCGTGAATTTGTCATTTATGAACCATGCGACTTCTTCCCGGCCAAGGCCTGCAAAGTAAGTAAGAAAATCCATTACTGTCCTCTTCTCTAAACTTTTAAATGTACCTAATAATGAACTATGTAAGCAGGCTAAAGAAAAACTCATACAGCCAGCTGCCTAGTGTTTGTAACTACTTGTCCGCTTACTTAAAAAAAAGAAAATGGCGGTAACATTTAAACTAAAGTGTTTTGGTATTCTTTTGTTTTTTTCGTCTTTTTCCTATTTTAGTCGCGAAAATGAGTTCTAGTGAGCGATAACGAAAATACAGTAATAGATACACATTCAAACACATCATCAGAAGTTCAGCAGACTACTATTAATGTACCTGGAAAAAGAATAACGTTTTCTTTTAGTGATTGTCCTTTCACGTCAATATTACTTTTAATATTAATTAATATTTTTTTTTTACTTTTTCTATTATACATCTACCTCTCATTAGTCTTTTATTGTTTCCTCACATTGTTTAAGAAAAATTCTATACATGCCTCGACGGGGATTGCTTGACTCGTATTAATACAAGGCGTCCCTGGCGCTCGTGCTTGTAACACATACTCGTCCAGCAATCTTTTAGTTCCCAGCCTCTGCAATAATGTATTATAACAGGAACATGATTACTTATTCGAATAAATAAATTAGACTGTCCGACCCAAATGTTAACTTACACGCATTTTCCACTAAGCGGTTAGTCGCGGGTGGCCGGCCGCGCGCGACTCTTATTTATTCAACATCCCACCTTTTTATCACCCTCTTTACCGGTTCCTGGTCACTTATTTTTAAAATTGTGAACCGTTCTCGATTCGTTCCATCATCTCCTCTCATCATGCCTCTCCCTAGAGACTGGTGTAGTTCCCAGATCGTGGAAGCTTGCAAACGTGCAACCTGTGCCGAAAAAGGGAAGCAGAACTGACCCTGTCAACTATAGACCTATCTCAGTCACTTCCATACTCTGCAAGACTATGGTATGCATACTTAACAACCGCCTCCTGTCGGACCTCGAAGACAACGACCTCCTCAGTGATCGCCAGTACGGATCCCGACGAGGGCGATCTACCGGGGATCTTCTTGTGTATGCCTGTCACATTTGGAGCGACGCTATAGAAAAGCAAAGCACTTGCAGTGTCTTTGGACATTTCTAAAGCCTTTGACAGGGTTTGGCACGCAAGCATTTTAAGTAAACTTCCCTCTTATGGGCTTCCCACTGACCTTTGCAATTGATTCTTGGATTTCTTGAGTGAACGTTCGATTCGAGTGGTCTTAGAAGGCTACACTTCCGAACATATGACGATGAGAGAAGCCGAAGTTCCTTAGGGTTCCGTACTGTCTGCAACTCTCTTTCTGCTTCATATCAATGATATGTTAATTCCAGGTACCTTTGCGTATGCTGATGACAGCACAGTTGTAGATAGTTACTTGACCAATGCAAGGGTCAGTGGAGAGGAAATCCAGTCTTGTCGAGAGTCCATAGTTAGCCGTTTGGATTTGGCACTCCAGGCAGTCTCCGATTGGGGCGATGCCAATCTTGTCAAATGTAACGCTACCAAAACTCAGGCATGTCTATTCTCCACAAAACGGAGTCCCTTGGAGCTAACTACGACTTTTCATGATATATCCATACCCATAGCCCACTGCCTCCAGCTACTTGGAATGGACCTGTCGTCCAATTTGAACTTCGGCCGATACATACAATCATTTCGGCAGATACACACACACAC